AAAACTGAGTGTTATAGATTGTTATGAGAGTGAGTGTATTAAGTCAATTCTTTTCCTTTGGGACAAACCACCTACGCTCATTGCAAGTAATCGTATTTTCTGATTCCCAGGCAGCAATTCAAAAGAAATCTCCCAGTTTCAGCAACATTTGAGAGAGAATAGTGTCTGAAAATGAAACATGTTAGAGACTGTAAGAAATTTCGGGGAAAAATGGTTAAATAAAGATTTATTTAATTGGTATTTTACCATATTCAGACGAAACAGTCAAATAACCATAAATAAGATGGTAATCAAACTGTTAATTGTGAGCCGAGAGGGCTAATCTGTCAGTCTCATGTCCGTCAGTCAAGTACCAGCTTTGACACCACAGTATTTCACCGATTCTTTTCAACACATGACGAGTATCCAATGTCCTGCGCTTCCAAATTTGTATCCTGCTGTCTCTAATGCCAGTTATTTAACGAAATATCTAACTACTATGCCTAGTTAAATTTATTTTTTTAATGGTTTTGAAACCATGCTTGTTTTAAATGCTTAAAAAATCGAGCAGTTCATAGTTTTATAATTCATGATTTTATAATCATACTAGTTGTAAATGGTTTCAAAACAATAAAGGTAAAAAATTTTCTTCACCGTAAACCTTACTGTTAATAGAATGGGCAGATAGCTACCGGTTATTTTTACCATAATTTTAGAATAAAAATTCCAATGGTGTTCTTCAGTGGATACCTGGCTATCGAGGCATTTTTGGGAACGAGCAGGCTGACTGTCTCGCAAAAAGCGGCTCGAGACATCTTCAAATGAGATCCTCTCTAGTATCATTCCATTCTATGAGGCTACTTATCAAGCAAACAATAAATAGTCATTTCAAATCATAACTTAATGACAGAATTAAATCGAAACATTGGAGGAGTGTTGAGGATCTTTTGGAAATTCTTTTCAGTCCGCAACAGTGCGCTGTAGCCCAGTTCCATCTACTAACTGGAAATGACTGTCTGTCAGAACACTTACACCGAACTTAAATCTTTTCAAGTCCTTGCTGACCCCTATGCAAATTTAATAAACCTATGAATATTCACCACCCTCCTGTCAATATGCAGTTCTTAAAGGTGAGTTTGAAACGGCACTTTATTGGCAGGACAGTGAACTTTTAAGGCAATAATTTCGGTCGATTATAATTTGACATATTTTTAATTGTATTTTTTTACTATATTTTTTTTATAGTTATTTGCTTTGTCATTCGAAATAAAAAATATAATAGGTGTTATGAAAGGAAAAATAAGTGAATCAATGCTAATGAATACTTTAAGGGAGGGGTTAAGAGTTTTTTTAAGTTTTTATTCTATATTTACTAGTATCATTTCAGAAAATCAATGCATTACAACAATCAAAATTCACCATATTTCAATTAGTAGAAACACATAATTGTGTAATTGCGTGTAGTTGCATAACATAATTAGCTTTTCAATGTTTTCTATTTGCAATATATATTCTTTTAATTTTCAATATTACATGTTTTCTTCGAAGTAACATTTTATGTTGCATAGTTGTTTTCACCCAAAATGCTTTAATATCTTTTTTGTAAGATTCGAGACTGTTTGCTTCCGTGTTACACAGTCTTAAAATAAAAGAGTATGCTTCAATAATTTCATGGTATCTTCCAGAAAGTGTCCTATTATTGGTTTACAAAAATTCAAGAACCAATCATGTGTCTATCTTGAAGCATTCGACAAAGCTCTGTTGATATTCAAATTTAAAATGCTTACTTTTGCTAACTTATTGGTTAATTAAGCGAAATAAATGATACAAGAGCTTCATATTGCATCATTTATACTCTCAGTAAAACTGATTTAGGGATAAAACAGATTATTGGTACTTCAAACTATATTACTCAGATTGTATGAAAACGCAAAAAAAAAATTTAAATTGTACAAGGTATAATGAAGATTGGAAATAGAGGTATTAAACCAATTTTGTTTATTTTAAGATTGTGTCCTATATTTATGCTTCAAATGGTTTCGTTAGCACAGTTTAAATCAACACTTTATGATGGTTTCAGCAATTTTCAGAAAATGATATTTTTAATATTGTAGTATCATATTTTGCGAAACAAAGCAGATGCTATTGCTATATGATGCTGTATGATATGAAAATAATATCATATTTCTTTGTATAAACAAAAACTTCTTGCCTGATATGCTTTATTATGATAAAAATTTTCTTCATTTTAATTTAATTTGAATTTTCGAAAAGTTTAACTTCCTCCTCAAGGTATATATTTATTTAAAAAATGCAATAATTTAGAAATTCAAAAAATCAATGTTATCCCTCTCCCTCCCAGCAAATCATAGTTTCATCAGTAATTGATATTTTAATAGGATATAAAGTGCAATCATCCTTAAAATTGGAATGCAGATATTATCTTTATTCATTTTTTTCTCCGTCCACTTAAATTTATTTAATGGAAAATTATTCTCCCGGTATTCTATTTTTAGAAGTTCATTACTTTTTAAAATAATATTTAATTTGTTATAAAATTGATTCTAAGGTTTGATTTGTTCAATTCTTCTTTTATTTTGCATTTTAAGGAATACTCTTCCAATAATCAAATGGAAATAGTTACTTTGTGCAATTCATTACCGAAACACATTTTTGCAATTTAATGTTTTAACATAGTTTTAACATGAAAACAATTTAACATGTTTTCTTTTTTTAAACAGTACACATTTTTTATTTTGGTAAAATGCAGAAAAATGTTACTTTTCAGCATTTTAATGATTAACATGGGATATGAATGTAACATTTTTCATCATTTTTTTGACACATTATTGTTCAATATTCATATAAATTTGAAAATAATCTATTTTCCTTTTGTTTTCTTTGTAACAAGAAAAACGGTATAAATTGGAATAGTTATTCAAATTATTAATCATGTGTAATATAATACAACTTTATATACAGCCTATAATAAAGTACAAAGTATGTTTCTTCTTAAACGCTTTAACATTCATATCAGAGTGAATAGTTCTGTATTCACCTATCTTTTTCAATGTTTGATCATTTTCTATTTGTTATTATTATAATGTTGTATAGGTTATTATAGCTTAAACTATTGAATTTGTATTTGAAATGAATCGGAACAATAGGTGACTGGGAAAGTCATTGGTTGGATTGAATCCAAAACATTCCGAAAACTATACGACATTTTCGATATAAATGATTAATTTCATTTTAAATCTTTTCTATGACTACAGACATCTTTTATTCCTTTTTGTTTATTAAAAAAAGGGATAAAAACACATAAAGCTTTTGCTTTAATCTTGTAAAAGTGATTAATGATGAATCATACAATGGAAATTTCGTTTCTGACTTTAGTTATCAATTGAAGAATATTTGAAAAATGATGTTTCTTGTGATGTGATATATTATTTTATTTGCCTTTAATTAAAGAATGTTTTTCTCTAAAAGAAAAAAATTGAATAATTCAAATTTGTATCAAACATTGGAATAATTATATTGTTATTCAAATTGGGTGCATTTTATTATAATAAAGATGATTTATGAATTATGTTAGGAACCCTTTATTTTGGCTACTGAAGTACCAGATATTTTAATTTTTTACCATTTACTAAATTTCCTACTTATGTCCTTCGTCGTTTTAAAGAACTTCTTTTTTAATATTGTACTACTCCCAAATGCATGTAATATGCAGTTCCAAATTAATCTAACTTTCATAAAATATTTAGGGTAATTTTTAATGTTCACACATTGTCAAATGACACGGTTTTTCTTCTTAACAAATCATGCAAATATGATCACAGACAAAATATTTGTTTTATCATATTGATTTCATGCACTTGGCTATAAACTAGTTGTAAATATCTTTAAATTTTTTACATCAATTGAAATTTTTGTATGTTTCCCAACGTTTTTAAATTTTAGGGAAGTTAGCAATCAGCTTTACCTTTTAAAGCAAAGATAAGTTAAGGGGGGACCCCACCCTGAGATGGTAAAATATTAACGTTTTTCTTGATTTTTTTTAAGTAATAGAGACAATGTAGAGACTCCTTGGTTTTTTTAATGTTATTTAGCTACAATTTAAGTCTATTTTATAAATTTTTCTTTCACAAAATAATAAAAAATAAGTTGATGGCAGCTCTGTGTGTGGCTGGTCATCAAAAAGTAGCACCTCACTGGCCTCATGGATTTAGAAGTCCTGAAACGTAGGAAAGCGATTTTGTTTAGATTTTCTGAAACATAAAGACATTATCTAAAAAGTAGCATAACAGTATTTTGATATTCGCAAAATTATCAAAATGGCGGCAACTTAAAAAAAAAGTTAAGTTTTTCATTAAAAAATTAGTCATTAAAATGCTAATATAAAATCGAAATATAAAAATATCAAAAAAAAAAATCCTATGCTACTTTCTAAAGAATATATTTTTACGTAATTTAAAATAAAGAACGGCTTATTTCGTTGGATAGATCATGAGAAAAACGTTAGGCCAGGTTAAAAAACAGCGTTTTAAAAAAGACGCGCTTAAAGTTTTGACTTTTGTTCAATCTAGTAAATTATTAAATTAGTAATGACTAACTTTTATTCTGCAATTCCAGGTCCATATATTTTCTCCGTCAACAGAATGGATGAGACACAAAAAGAACGTCGCCCCTCCTAATCCGGCCGACTGGGCCTTTCTACCTGCTTAGTGACGACTCTCTATTTTCCGGTATAACTTCCAAAGGAAGTTAGGTACCGAGAAATCGTTTTAGACAGACATTAGAAAGGGTACAAAGATTCGAAAAATGTAATAAATTTTTTTTCGAATTTTTGAAATATTCAGGGTGGGGCCCCCCCTTAAGTCCGAATATTTATAATAATTTTCTATTTGATTTCATGGCTTTAATAATATACAGAAAAAATGACATATTGGTTTTAATAGTTTACTGTAACATTTAAATGTCAATGATTATTAATTTATGTCACACTTTTCTTTTTTTAGGCCAAGATGGGTCTTTGTAAAACTGAAGCTGAAAGAGCAGAGGTCTACATGAACAGTGAACGCACTGAGTTAAATAATTTGTATGAAAGCTTATGGAGGATACACAAAATGTGTGGCTTAGGTGATACTGAGTTCGAAGATGGCATTAATGATTTCAATGCAGAAACGATTAAGGAAGAGGTGGAGAAGCAGATCATTGAATATCTGATGCAGATTGAATACTTCAGAATGAAAGTAAAGTTAACATCATTCTAAAAATTTTCTTCAAGTTGCATACATTAGGTTTTAAATTAATGTATTTGAGAGAGAAGAAAAATTTCGTCATTTAAAATAATGGCATTTTCAAAACATTTGGCAAAAATAGTTTTAAAAACTATTTTTTTAAATTCTATTTCCTCTTCTTTTAAAAAAAATGAATGAATTCCTTTCATGCATAAAACTATTTAATTGTGTTTTATTTGATAACGGAAAGGAGGACTTTCAAGTGTTTATTTACGAAAAAATAATGATAGTTCAATGAGATCTAACGTAGTTTTGACTTTATTTAAACCATTGGTTGCAAAAATTACAATGACTCTGAGCTATAGTACCGTTTTTATATCCTAATGTGAGCCTCCAACCTAGGAACTAGTAACTTTTTTCCAAAAATATCTTGCATTTGATTTATTAGATCAGTGAAAGAACCTAAGTTAGCGAATCGGAGTGATAACGTGATCTACCGAAAATGTCCTCGAGAGGTAATAGTAGCTCGTGATCAACGATTTGGCGAACACTGATTTATTCTATGTGGTAATTGTACCTTCGGGCAGAAAAGCAAGCACTATTCTCAAATTATTCGCATAGTTTTCAAAATGTCGGTTTCCTTTCCTGCATGAGGATAAACTATATTTTTTGCAAAAAAACAAAAAATTTCACATTCCCTAATTATATTTTAGTTTAATTTATTACTACAATATTTGTATTATTTATTTTAATTTATATAGAGTAAAGGTGCCTAAATTGTACCTATCTCAAATCATACCTCCCTTTAATTTTCTAAAGAAGCATTGCATAGAGAATGCTCTAGAAGATATATTAGGAAGATTTTTACATTTCAAGATTCTTGAAGAGTTGAAGAACTTTCAAAGTAATTTTTGAACATGCTGCGTAATTATATAACATAACTACAATAATGCACAGATTATTAAATACATGACATGATTGTTAAGCAATTTATTCGCTTATGTTCTATTTATGTCCTTGTTAGCTAACTAACTTTTGAGGATTGGAATAGCTCTATCTAAAACAATATTCTGGAGAATTAAGGATGTAGGTTCAACTACAAAGGTTATAAAATCAGAGCAATTATTATTTTTATCGTAGATTATTTTTTTTTTATAAAATTACTAGTTTAATTGTCATGATTAATTTACTCTAAAGGAAAATACTGCTTCTTTATTTTGATAATAAAGAAGTAATATTTTTATAAATCATAGTCACCCTTAAATTAACTAAAAAAGCTGATTTTGTCGAATGTAAAAAATATGGAAATTATTACTCTGAAAACGTTAACAAAGCTGATAATTATTAAATCTAATATATGGCTCCCAAATTTTGGCTGTATTTCTTTTCCGCCGGTGGCAACGTTTGCTTTGTTTTGTTTACGTTACTATTTCTCTTACACGGCGAATCGACCAATGATTGTCGCTAAAAATGTCACATGCCAAATCTAGCTGAGGTGGCTCAACATATAGCTCTTTTAAAAACGGAAACTGAAATAACCAGCGAGCATCAGCTGCGGCAATCTCATACTATTAAACTAGGCAGAAGTGAGTAGTCTTTGTCGATAGATCTCTATTTTAGTATTTTGTCGAAAGCGCTTTTTTTCACGAATTTATATATTACGAATTTATTTGACGATTTTTGATTTATATCACGAATTATACTATAGCACATTTATAATAGGTTTAACGAATTAAATGTCATTTATTTGAATTCAAATTTATTTTAATGACTTAGTATTTACTAAAAAGATGTAATTTTTGAAAAAAAAAGTTTTATATGGATTTCAATGATTGTTTTGAATTCTTAGAATTTTGTGCATTTGCAATGTACCTAAGGTTAGTGTCGAGCGAAGCGAGCTTGGTTTGCGAAGTAAAAAAATAAGATTGCGTAGCAATTTTCGGGGCTTGGCGAGCGTTAGAGAGCAGGCGACGCAGCCCACTAGTAATTTATAATTCTTCTCATAGTGCCAAAGTTTATTAGTTATTGCAGTGGTCAGTTCAAATCCTATTGTCTCTGGTGAGAGAAGAGTTTAATTTCGTTAAATTTGCCGCAATTTTTTTTTAAATTATCAAGATGCCTAAAACTATGGGAATTTTAAACTTTAAAACTATTATAGTCATTTGAGCCATTTAACCGGAAAAAAAAATCAATTGGAGCCCTGTTAAACCCCATTACCCTGTGCGATATTCAAATGAGAAATATAAAAATGATACGAAATACGAAATTAAGTAACATGTTGATCTTGACTTCAATTTAAACTTAATTATTTTTTTCAAAAAATTAATACTGAGTTTTTTTATTAAACTCCGAAGGAATGATGAATATTTATATAGTCACATCAGTCATCGTCGGTTAAAAATTAAATAAATAATTAGGAATGTCGAAGTAACGAAAAACAGGGAAAAAGAAATAAAATAACCAGTTACAGAAAAAATTACATAATTTGCAACAACACAACTAACATAGCGCTTTGACTTAATTATTCTCCCCCAAAACATTAGGAAGCACTTAATGAAATCATTAATTAACAAAACATAATTTTATTCCATGACAAAACTTTTTAAATCTAGTTTTTTCCTTTGCTTAAAAAAATTGAAAGCTTTGCTGAATGAAAAGTAAAAGTAAAAACAGCTTATAAATGAAAAGACGATTTAAGTTTTATTTTTTTTGTTACGTTCAAAAGTTAAAAAAACATCAATGTCAGTTAAATTATATTCGGAAAGAAAAGACTACATCGATTAGTTTTTGCTCAGTTTGTCATTAGAGTTTTTTTTATACATAAAAGACATGCTTTATTGGGGTAAAAAAATTTTTTTTTTCTGTAACAAAACGGTTCCCTAAGGCTCAGAGCGCTTAAAGTATTTCTTTACGTACGATAAGTGAATGAAAAATGTTCGAAATCTTTAATTTTTCTTTGTTAATGCTTTTCAGAAAAAAAAAGGAAAGTGTAAAAAAAAAGAGACAGCTTGAAGCTGTTTCGGCTAGCGTAATTTACATTGACAGTTTTTTAAAAAAATTTAATTTCCTTGAAAAAATTAATTTTCTATTTTACTTATTCAGCTATTAAAAAGACTGTCACCAGGTGACTCAAAACTTAAAGCTAATTATCACATACATTGCATCTTTTTCCTTTCTTTTCTACTCTTAATACTCAGCTCATGGAGAAAAAAAATTAAGAAAAAAAGGGGGGGGGAGAAGTTGAAAATTGGGAATAGGGATAACTTCAAACATACAATACATTATATACAAGGTGCGTAAGACAGGAATAAAATCTGGTATAATTTAATGCGCAGTATTAATTAAAGAAATGAGATAACTATGTATGTTGCCATCATTTTTCATTCCTGCATCAACGCCACCATTTTTATGTATAGCTTTTATGCAAAGCTTTATTATTTTAAATTTTTTGTGTCTTTATGTACAGTGCGCAAAATTAAAAACGGACCAATCTGAATAATTATTGATCTAATGATCAGATTTTCACGTTCTAGGTCTCTTAAAATTTATTATCTAGGACTCTTAAAATTAATCTTAAAATTTCGAGACGTAAAATATGCTAATTAATTTGTACAGACGATATTTTAAGTTGCGAAATCAGACACAAAAACGTACTTTCTCTGAATAAATATACCTTTTTTTCAACGGATTCAGATTTCTGACCTCAAAATATGGAGGGTAGTCGCAATCTGAGAAATATGGTCCCAATGGTTTGGTTAGGAGAGTAGCCCAAAGTTTGGACTCCCTATTGTTAATTTTACTTTTTGCGAATCTCGCCATATCTCGAGAACTTTATAAGTGAATCGAAAAAATTCTGCACACAATTATAAAATTCGTTTATGCATCGATAATTCCATGCAAACAATAAATTTTAGTAATTATTGACTATTTTTTATTATTTAATAACAGTCGAAAGATTTTGCATTGGATGGTATACAGTTTTTACACCATTTTAAAGAATGCAATTTTAAATGGAAAGATACGAAATTTGTACGAAATTGGTCGAATAGTTCCTGAAAAATCAAATTCTAAACATACGACTTTTTCAACATCATACAACCTTGCTTTTTGTACATACAAGTGCTTGTTTCATCTCGTTTTCATCCACATTTTGGATATGATTTTCTTAATTTTTTTATCGAAGGGAAAAAACCCTAATGTGCTGTGTAATAATATTATTTTTTGATTCGGTATTGTATAACAAGCATTTATCCCTTTCCTCTTGTCATCTACTCAATAATATGCATGTTCTTTGCGTATAATGAAAAAATTATCTCAAGGCAACTTAAAAACCATTTAAAAATCAAACTTTTGACCAGCCCCAAAAGAGTTTTTCCTTAAATTTGCTTAAAACTTGAATTGACTTTTTTTTTATAATGATTTTAATTCAAAGTAAATGTTTTCAGTAATTTACTTTTGAAAAGATTGAATGACAAATTAATTAACTGTGATCAAAATAAAAATGATGAAACTTGCTCTCATTCCTGAAAAATATTAATGCGATATTTTTAAGAAGCCACGAGCACTTTGAAAGCATATCTTTGTGTTTGGAAAAAATATTTACACTCGGTTCCCTCAAATAACTTTAATAGACCATAACAGAATTATTTTATAACATAACGTTATTTCTGATGTAAATCTGATTTCTTCTGAAGTTTCTCATATTGATATCATATTGATATTATATTCTTAGGTAGCTAACTTATCACTTTGAGATATTTGGTAATTGATGTGAATATATATGATTTTAAATTGTGTTTTTTTTCCAATTAAAATCCTAAAAGGTGATTTTTTATTTTTACTAAATTAAAGTTAAAATTAAAATAGGTGTAGAAACTGTTTGTTTAATTATGGCTTTGCGTTTGAACAATATCATAGCATTGATTCTTCGTCTCTAAGACAGATTTACATTGCGCGTGGAGTTTAGATAAGTATATTTCTTCAGATATTTGATATCCACACTTTCAGTCGAGAACTACAGCTACTTCATAACTTTTTTAGCTGAATTTTATTTTAAAATAATAATAAAAATATTAAGAGATTATAATTCCTAAATAAGATGAACATTAAAGAAAGAAAGAAGAAAAACAAACGCTTGTAATTGCAATAGGTAGGAAAAAAAACTCACTATCTCTAATGAAACCTTTAGACCTAGAAGCTCTACTTAGATTATCCAATTGTAGTCATTGAATATAATTGGGTCACGATTTCTTAATAAATCAAAATGATAAATAAATTTATGACTTCATCGTTATTTCAAATATTTACTTCAAACTTAAAAACATAAACGTTATTATCGTTATTTAAAGTTGAAATTCTGCACGTTTGCAGAGTTTATAATACGACATAAATTCTTAAAAGAACTCTACTTTGACATGCTAATGGAGACATATTATGAATATTTCAATTTATTCGCAGTCAAGATGATAATCTAATATGATTAAATTAATATGATTTTTATAAAGAAAAAAACATAAAAGTATAAAAAAAAATATAAAATGACCTTTGCTTCATATCCACATTATATTCAAATGAAATAAACTTTCAAATTAAATCATGTTACCACGATGAAAATATTCAAATTAACCCCTTTTCAGTGTTTATGTGATAATTTGGTTTAACCGTAATAAACGCACGTTAGTGAAGACATCTTTAAAACAATTTTCTAAAGTTACAGCAAATTCTTTGCTATAGTTCCACGTATGCAGTTATTTGGTAAAATACAAAATGCAAAAAAAATAATAAGGATTTTGGATAAATATAACTTTGGACAATATACACTCACTTAATACAAGTTAATTATTTTTCTTCATTTTTTTCATTAAAGTTAATAGAAGAAAATATTTTTAAACCGTTTTTTTCTAGATACAGTTGATGATATCTCTTCATATAGTTGCACGGTTGTGATAAATAATAATTTAATTATTTTTTTCCAATAATACTTTTTTCATTCTATCTTTTTCTTCAGTTGAGATTAGGAACAAACTTACGGCTACTGCAATAAATTTTCGTCGTTAGATTTATTTAGACGACGGGTAAAGTTAAGGTACTAAAATCGCCAATTAAAAAAATGATGTATTAAAATGAGATTAAAGTTCCGATAACTTTTAATAAGAAGAAAGATCGTTATGGAAATTAAAGTCATTCTGAGACGTAAAATATGCGTCTGAAGTTCTGTGCACAAAAAAATTTTAAAAAAGAATTATTTAGGCTTTACATCATTAAAAAATGACTGTAAGACCCTTCATAAGTTGAATCATTAACCAAAACTCAACTTCCAGTGTAAGAAAAGGCGAATGTGAGATAATTAACTTCTAATTAAAATTGATGATAATCCCTCTAAAGAATGGAATTTTTCTCGTAACTTGTTAAAAATTCTTACGACAAGCTTATGCACTTTGTTTATGAAAACGCACGTGAATAATTAAGAAAAATAAACCCAAAGAGAAAAGGCCATAAATTAATTCATTGTGTTTCAAAACTAATGAAAATTGATGGATTTTATGAACAACGCAGGGGTATCGATCATTTTAAGTTTTTTTTGTAATTAATGTGACACCGAAGTAGTTACTTTGTTTAGAGATCAAAGTAAAATAACTCTAATTACATGGGAGAATATACTGATCTGATAATAATGGATTTTCCTAAACCGTATTGCTACCAATTGGGATTGTAGTTTGTGCTTTCTTATTAATAATGTTAGCGATTTCCTTAATTTGGAGAAACGATGACTAACGATTGCGAGAAAATATTTCATATTTCTAGTTGTGTAAAACATCGAACAACGGGGTTTAAAACCGTCAACTTTATGTTTTTATATTTGCCTAGTACAATTGCTAAGAAACAGTTACCTTTTTCGGAACAACTAATAATTGACATTGATTGAAGAAATGAAACTAAGTACATATTTACTGGACACTATGTGTATTTATTATAATGCAAAATTTTACAAATTTGCAACATAGAAAAATAAGAAAAAATTAAATGTAAAACATATGTTCTTTAGACGATTTCTAAACAGCTACGAAAAATGGCTCTTCTTGCTAGAATGAAACAGTTATGCGTATCTCAGTAAGATGTATGATTTCCTCAGATTCTAATATATGTTTTGCATTGGTAATTTATGCTGTGCACTAAACAATCGGAGTGTCCTTGGGCCCAACTACTTTCTCAGGATGGTTATCAGCTCTTACACAGTTCGGACAGGGCGAGTTCTTTGTGAAACACACCTGCAAAAGGCATCCTAAATAGACTCTATAGGATTCAGGTGGGGGAGTACGCAAGCTCTGATATACGAGAATACCTTCACCTTCTAGCGTGTCCGATACCTCAGCACTCCTATGTGACCACGTATTGCTGCTTATAAAAAGAAATTCTAAACCTTCCACACCCCTAAAACGACGAACATGACCCAGAATAATCTTTCTGCAATAATTCTGGGATGAAGTGCCACCTCGCTTAAAGATGTGAAGTGGTGTTCTGCCACTGTGCATGATGACTACCCACACCAGCACGCCTGCTTCACGCAGATCATGTTTATGAACATACTGTTGTGCATAACGTGTTCCCCTCTCTCTCCACACTAATTGCTGGCCTGAATAACTTATCATATAGAAACGGGATTCATCGTGGAGCATCAGTCTGTACCATTGTTGGTGACCCCAACTAATACGTTCCTTATACCAGCGTAATCTTTCTCGACGATAGCGTGGTAGAAGTGAGATGCATCGAACAGGCTTTCGGAAACCAACTTTATTTAAACGCCGTGAGTTTTTTCTGGCGGAAACCTGTGTACCGGTAGTGGTTGCGAGGTCTGCAGTCATCTTACTAGGAGTGGTATTTCTGTTCATTTTCGTCAGTAAGGGATACATATCGGTCCTCTTGAGGTGTGGTGTTCCTAACACAACCATTTGCATACATTTCCAGTTTTAGTGGCCCTTTTTTAATTGCGAGGTGGCACTTTTTGTTACTCCCATTATTGTGGCCACACTGGTGACACTTTAACCTACTTCCAGTCATAGAATTGCTTGTCCACGATCACAAGCATTTAAATGATGTCTTGCTGATATTTTACGCATAATTATTGCAACACTACCTTGAGTTTCACAGAAATTAGTTCAACAACTTGCGTCGCTATATTGGTGAAAAACACCTAACAGCATGAGTTTTCGAACGAATAAGGATCTTGTATACACTGCCCTTTATACAGATAGCAGGCTCTGCTTTACCAAGCCCTCTGAGCTTTATTTTACTGTTATTAGTGGGCTGTCGGGAACTCCACTTTGCCTAAATCAGTTGCTTCTTAGCGATTGTCAAACAATGCATGTACTGTATTATTTACTATCATAATGAAAGAATCAGATAAAAGAAAATTTTTGTTACATAAGTAATGTTTTGTAGAACCTTGCTTAAATTAAACAAAAACTGACAGTTTCTGATTTGTCTTTGTAAATTACGAAAATTAATGTTTCTGCCATGATACACGAGAAAGTCTTTTAATAATTAAATGTACTGGTTTGTATAAATCACTGCAAAAAATAATTGGCATTAACTCTTGTTTGAAAATGGCTCTTATATGCATGTCACTTTTTAATCTAAATAAGTAACGGATACTGAAAAAAACTTGAACGGAATGTTTCGTTCATAAGTATTATAAAAATTTTCACAATTACGATGACACATGACTGTGTTTGAACTCCGTCAAGATTTTAGGGTAGAACTGCTGAATGGAATGCGTATTTCATGAGAAATTATATGTTTAATTAGTTTTCACAAATAATAGCAATTTATTTTATTTAGTAATTTTTTTCAGTCATTGTTCAAGCAGAAGACGCATTTTTCTGGAACATATACGTGACACTGATGATGCTCGATGTTATTTAATTGAGAGAGTGTATAAAAATAATTTCCTTAAATGTTTATTTACTCACCTTACAATTTTTAACTAAAATTGTAAGGTGAATAAAAAAAAGGTAGAAATATTTTAAACTATTGTCATTACTTTCCTATTATTTTTGTGTGTAGTATTTTAATGATTAAAGGAATTTTTATATAAAGTGAGAAAATAAATATATTTTTTTCTCTTCCAGAAAGCTTTGATTGAAAAGAAGAGTCAAGTACCTCTCCAGAAAGAAGTTATTGATCCCCATTCACCGACTCTCGGGAAGGATACAGAAGAAACAGAAGTTTTGGATACTTTACAGCCTAGAACATTAGAGTAAGCAGGACATTTTCAAAAGAAAAGAATGATCTGTCATAAAATGTCATAGAGTCAGGTAATAGTGACTTAAAAGGTTCGCCATATACTTGTCCTGGTAAAACTTATTCTAGAAAACAGGTTGATGAGGACTTTTTCAAATAATTACAAAATTCCTGCTGGGAGTGGAAATGATTTTTATTTACTAACTCCTAAATGAGAATTCTGGATTGTCAGAGATATGGTTTTTTATTCGATTGTAGTTCACGCATGTTTAATAGCTACGTAAATTGAGCTACTTTCTGTTTTCACATTGAACAGCTCATTTTTGAGCAACCATGAGGGATTAACTTCTCTACACATATGACTCATAGACTATTCTGGGTATAATAATAAAGCTTGTAATATGATTTGATATAATATGACAAATGGAAGGCAAATAATTTTATACAATAAATCTCAATGGTGTATATTTTATGTAAAGAATCAGAGTTGACCTCAATAATTACTTTTCAGATTTTGCTAACATTTTATTTTATTTTTTGTACCTCAAATATCTATTCTCTACGCTTAACAAGTAGGGTTTCAAAAGTTTTATTTCTACTCTTGAGAAACATTCCCTCTTACTTCATATCTTATTGCTGGAATGTTTAAAAAGTTTCATGGTGAGAAAATTTTATATAAATTTGCTTCTAAAAATCTTTATTAAGGAATTGGCTAAATGATGAAATTAAATTTAATTTAACCTCTTCAGATTCGTGATTACATGCATGTGAGTAATTCTCCCTTCATAGCCCATAATTTCATATGGTAAATGACCCTTTCTGACTCTAGTTGCTGAAAACGATGAACTAGATCATTTATTTGAAAAAGACAATAAATTAAAAGCGATGAACTACATCACTTATTTGAAAACGACAATAAATTAAAAAAGCGATGGGTGATCTAGTTACGCCTCTGATGTTCTTTTTTTTCTGTTTCGTTTTTTGGTATGATGTTCTTTGTTAGCACTGTTATGTTTAAAATAATTAAAAGTTGTTAATTTCTTTAACGTTGGTATTGGTAGTTTTTTAAGAAAATAAAATTGTCCTTGAATCAGTTTTAGTTCGTGTTTTAACACTAGCTGCTCAGGATTACGCGGGCGTGATCTCAAAACGGTACTCTTGGATGACATCTCACGCATGTACGCTTTCACGCACTCTTTGTTATGTACAAGCGGAAAACTCGTTCTTCGCCTGGGTTCAGAAAAGGTAAATAATCAATAAAACGGGGTTGATCAGCACTTCCAAATCATGCTCAAAACTTAGAGGCATATAATGGCGCAATCAGTAACGATTAAGTAGTTACCTACTTCTTTATTTATTTATTCATTAGCATTTATTGCCTTTCCGATTTGCTTAACTTATTAGAATAATGAAAACGCGTTTTTAGAGCTTTATCTCTTGAGAATAAATATTAACTTTTTACACTGTCCCCTGATATGGTGCTGTTGCTCGTGATCAATTCATGATATTTAAAATTTGCCTTAATCAGACAATTTTCTTCTGTACACGAAGAAATAAATTCTGGTAAAATTACGGTACTGCATGGTAATGACACTTCTGGTAACAAAAAAACAACAACATAATTCTGGTTTAAAAAAAAACATACGGTATTTGAACTACTCATGTAGTAGTTTTTCCGTTTTTATGTTAACGGTTTACCGGAAATTCTAGTTTTCAAAATTATAGCTCTTATTACCACATATTTGGTAAAAAATACAAATTTGACAAGTTAATTTAACCGAATAAAAGATTTTTATGTCATGCTTTAAGATATATTAAAATTACCTAATTTTTCTACATTTACGAAATTGTATCACTTATTATAAAACCATGTTTAATTGTGAATTTTACTGAAGTCATTACCATAGTGTCCATTATCTCTGAAATAATAAAGCTTAAGACCCTGAAATAATAAATTTTACTTAAAACTTGCAATAGATAGCAATTTTTAATAATTTGCATAATTTCATAGCATTTTTTTATAAAGTTGATTAGTGATGTGACAGCTCATATATGTATTATCGATTCAGTCAAATTAACATTTAGTAAGTAGCTTTAATATTTTTAATTTTATTGTACTGTCGTGAGAGTCAATACTTAACAGTACTATTCTGTTCAGAAAGCAGAAAAAATCACCTAACTATTATTGACGCTTAATTTCGGTTGTAAGTTCTGTGGTAATAACTACCTAATACACTAATACAAGTATAAGTTGTCATAAGTTTTTTATGGTCCCCCGAAACGGACAAATACCGCTTTAGAAAAGTCGTAATTGTAATTCTTGTATATAATTAGAATACTACTTCATTTTGGTGGCAGTAAAAAATTTTAATAACTTCGAAAATTGAATACTACACTTTCCTTTCACCACCTAAACTCACAAATAAAATTCCCGTCAATAAGAGTAATATGATTTTTTATGCCTTCCAAAACTAAACTAACCAATGGCATAAATGGTTTTAAATTTAATGTCATAGTTCTACAATTATTTTTTATCCATTCTACAAATTATCTTGCTGAATTGGCACTCACTTCAAAATTTTTATTTTTTGTTATTTGTTGCCGTTTACCTTTCCAATTCATATTACATTAAATTTATCAAATCAGAAAAAAATAGAAGTTAAACTTACTGAAACTCACTTTATATATTTACCTTTATATATCCATATATTACGTTTTTTCTTTTTTCTACCCTGATTGTAAAAATTAATATCAAAAACCTCAATCATATGAAAGTCATGAATTAACGATTTAGAAATAATTTAAATTTTATTATTATTTTTTTTAAATTCTTGTTTTAATTTTATTTTATAACCGCCGCCGGCCCAACCTTTGATTTTGTGGCTGCATTTTTTTTCAACATTTATGAACATTACATTGAAAGAAGAAACTTTATATGTGAAATGCTAAGATAAATAATATTTAAATTAATAAATTTAATGAGTAGAATAATTTAATGAGTTTTGCTTGAGCACACACTAGGCTCGGAAATATGTTTATATTTAAATCATTCACAAATTGATATTCGTTAGATAACCATACATTATATCTGAAGTGAGCTTTCACAAACCAATTTCAAAAACTCTTTGAAAACCATAATATTGCACGGTGATTGAGAGAAGGAGAGTAAATATTTATTAAGAGCATACATTTGTGCTTAAGAAAATGTTGCTGTTATGAATGATTCTGTCCAAACATATAAACGGTGATGCATGACTTAATGATGTTTAATTTCAGGAGTGAGGCAGAACTCAGTTCTCTGAATTATTTGCAGCAAACAGAAAGCGTTTTGCCTTTAGAACGCCTTAAGCAAACAGCAATGGCTGCCGTTGCAGAAATGGAATCGACGGAGGACTCGGAAGAAGATGATGAAAGCAAATAGAAAAGTTATTTCGGAAAGAAAGTCGTATAAAAGCAAACAAATCTCTCTGAAAAATGCATTACGATTGTTAAATTTTTTATTATCTTCAAAATTCCTCTCGCAGAATATTGTGTTTTCTGATATTATATCCGTGTACAGTCAATTGGGTTTAAACTTTAAAGGATATTAAAAAAAAAACTTATAGTATTGAATGAATTTAAAGCAAGGTATTAAATTTGAAAGTATCGGTTGGAAATAGTAAGTTATATTATTTTTTTGTAATGGGAGAATTTTCAAAAAGTTTGTTGTGTTTTTAAGATGGAGAAACACGAAGAATAAATAAAGTTTCTATCATTTATTTAGTTTGTGGAATCTGAATTTATTTAAAAATAATCTGGTTTAAAACTGAATCATAGGTTTAAATTATTTTCACATAGTGTTAAACTTCCAAATATGATCCTATCTTTATACTTAAATTTAGTTTTTAAATTTGCTGGCCAGGTGGCCGAGGGGTTAGCGCGCCTGACTGCGAAGTCAATGGTCGCGGGTTCGAATCCAGCTTTGGGCATGGATGTTTCTCTCTCTTGTGTTGTCCTCTGTTGTGTGTGATGTGTGAATGTGGCCCACCTTACGAACGGGTTTGTGGCAGTGTGGCGTGGGCAATGTTACTCGCCTCCGTGACTTTGGTTCACAGGTGCCCACTGGGTAACACCTCTGGCATTTTCTGAGGCGAAACGAATAAAGTTCAGTGCCTGCCATTCGAAAAAAAATTTTTTGAATTTTATCTTACTTATATACCTATTACAGACATTTTATGACAGTATATGTTTCAACAAAGCAAACTGTTCTTATAAACAAAATTTCAAAATTTCAAATTTTAAAATTACAGTTTCTTAAGGACTTATAGTAGCATATTGTTTTCACTTTAAGATGCGTGATTTTAAGGAAAGAGCGTGAATAAATATTTGGCAGAAATACATTACTGTGACAATTTGTAATTTATGTGTAATTTCGAAAGGTAATTTTGATATTTTTTCTTTCATAAAACATTAATCGAAAATTATTTTCTTGTGTGCAGTTGAAAAATGTATTTCTTGCAATGAGTTTTATATTATTAATAATACTTGACCCATTTTCTTGCAAATCTCTGTTTTGTTTTGTAAGCTGAAATCAAGTTAGAAACAATAAACGGTTATTGCTGTTAGGTTTATATTTAATTTTAAAAATATAGAAAATCATTTTCGACTAAAATTAGCATGCGAGCACACATAAGTTTTTTTTCTGCATTTCCTGACTCTACGACAAGCACCCGGATTCAGTTAAGTACCAATTTTAGCTAGCGGTTAGCGAAGAAATAAGTCTCGAAAAGAAATAAGTCTCGAATTTTCTTTTCTAAAGAATAAAACTTGTATAAATATTGATTAAAAAATTAAAGGGAGTTTTATAAATTAAATAAAAACAAACTAATAACGATATGAACTAACTTTATAAAACACACACATACAAAATATACTATTTACACGATTATTAATATCCCGAAGCAAACCAAACCAGACCAAAATATATTAAACCAAAATATTAAAGCCAGAATATATGAAAATAGTCCAAATGTGTGAAGATCAGCAAAAATTTGTATTCTTTCGCGGACACTACTGTGAGGGTTGCAAAAAATTATATAATTTCATAACTAATTTGCTTTGTAAGACTTGAATCAATTAATTGTTCCAAAATTTATTTCAGACTTATATTAGTTTTATTATGCTATACTTCTGGTTCCATGTATTTTGAAGCTTCAATGCACTGGTTATAAAACATCTCTATAAACCTTCAATTTAAATTCAATTTTTATTGTAATGAAGGTTTTTCTAGCTACTTAAAGAAATAAAATGTTTTGTACATAAATTATGGTTCGATGAATTATACGCAAGTGCAAATTTAATAAGAAGTGAGAATAGTTGAAAAAGAAGCAGTGATATACGCGTTTTGAATTCTTTATGTAACTCGAAGTGAAGTGGTACATTGAAAATTAAACTTCGTTATATCTAATGATGACGCAGAAATATATGCTTGGGCTCAAAAGGTTACATACCAGTTTCAAAGAACATATTTAAAATCAAAGTTTAATGCGTTTAGTTTTCTCAGTTACAGACATTTCGAAGTTGCACGTGTCTTTTATTCTTTAAAATTCCCAGAAGACTTAAGTAGCTTTGAAAACTGAGTTTCAATCTTAATCTTGTAAAGTTTAAAACTTGGCTCAATTTACGATTCAACGAATATATATTTATTTTTCTGGGTTCATTCATTTGCTCCATAATTGACATATGTTTTAAGTTACTTCAATTGTTAGAATATTGCTATTGTATGCTGGATTTAAATTAAGTTTTTAAAAATCACTCTTTTTAACATTGAAACAAGAATATGCTTTTCTTAGATTTTAATGGCGCTCCACGAAACATTTTCCCTTTGCAAATTAATTTATATTAGAAAGGCTGTATAAATAATGAGTATTTTAAATTCTTTATATTCTTTAAAAGATGGAGGATGTAAAAAATATTGTATTCTCTCTTTAAAAATAGCTAAATTCAATCTTTTTTAAATAGGGAAAAATTTATGTTTTTATCCCAATTAGACAGCGCGTTGGAAACCCATTGATAATACATTCTTTTAATATGGTATTCAGGAAACTGAACAATATCTTTTATAATTTGATAGCTAGGTATTTTAAAAAAATATGTCTTCTTAATATGGATTTTTTTAAAAATGCAATCTAATAGAACCTCAGAGAAGACATTCTGGTGAAATTTCTGGTATAGAAATCATAATTCTCCTTAACAAAACCAAAATATATGGCGCTTGAACCATTGATTTGGTAATTTTTCCATTCATGTGCTAGCGGTTTATCGGAAGCTCTGATTTTCATAATTATAGTGAAAAATACTATCTGACAAGTAAATTTAACCAAATAAATGGTCGTTAAGCCATGCTCTAAAGCATCTTGAAAAATTTACAAAATTTTCTCACATATTACAAAACCACATTTTTTCGTTTACCAAAGAACTTCGATAAAATTTACCGAGCTTTTTAGTGTTCCTACATAGCCAAAAGCACGGTAAATTTTACCATATTCTGGTAGTTTTAACCATTCATTTTACACAGTATAAATAAAATTGAAGACAAGGAAGTTGTTTTAAATTTTTTAAATGTTCTATAAACTAGGTAAAATAATTTACAAAATTACTGAAATGTCTCAAAGAAGATTTGTAAATTTGTTTTAATAATTTTTCCAATAGCACCAAAAGTCAAAATATTACATGAATTTTAAAATAAACGTTTAGAACCAAATTTTATTTTAAGAAAATTGAAAACTGACAAATTTTAGTTGCTATTTTCATAGGAAATTAGATATTTTACATTAATACGAGATGTTGAAAACTCGCTGTTTATATCAATGTTAATTAGAGACTAAATAATTGTTTCCAAAGAACATATTCACAAATTAAATATAGCAAAAAATTTGATATTAGCTTTCATAAAAAGCCCTTTTCTAGGCTTAATAAAAATGAATTATAATAAAACAATTTTTTAATACAACTTTTTCTAACTTAAATGTTCATAAAATCAAGAAAATTTAAAACGAGAAAAAGTAGAAGCCAAACAATTTAAATTTTGTTAATTGATAATAGGTAGGAATTTCATTAGAAGAATGGATTATTTAAATTGTAATATTCTTTGCTATCATAGGGAATGGATCCACTATCATAGGCAAATGCCTTTCACGGGCTTCACAAAAATAAATTATGATAAAATAATTTTCCTTAATATAGCATTTTGCTAATTAAATCTTCATAAAATCAAGGAAAATCGAAATGAGAAAAAGTAAAAGCAAAACAAGGCAAATTATGTTTAATAATATTTAGTAATTTCGTTAGAGTAATGGATTCTAAATCGTAATATTCTTTGCCATTATAGGACAGGAGGTGGTCTAAAATTGTCTAAAAAATAGACAAAAAGCTACGCTTAGCCTTTAACAGACTAAGAATTATTTTATCCAATCTTCTTGTTGAGTGGCAGTTTTACTGTGAGGATAAAATTAGAATTAAAAAAAAGAATCATAACAGAAAGAGCCTTGCCTAATAATTAGCAGAAATAATATTAGGAAATAATATTAAGAAATTTGATTAGAGGTAGAATTGTGGGCTTGGTCAAAATTAAATTTGTTAACAGCTTAATAGTCGTTATTTTCCAAGAACTTCGCTTAAATAATACGATGATATCGCAAATAGTTAAACGAAGGCCATGCAAGAGAAAACCTAGTTACTGCATTAAATCAAGTTTTAAAAATCAAAACTTGGTGACATTGACAAGTCAGTATTACCTTTATAGTTTCAATTATGTTGTGTCAGCTGAATTTCGGAATTAGACACGAAGGTGATTTAAAACAGGGTTGCTATTAAACCTTAAAAAAATATTGAGATCCTTAGAATTTGTATTTATCAGTTGCTACTTTTAACCATACAAGAATTATAGAAACAAAGATAGTTTTTTTTAATTATAATTTTTGACATGCATATGGGTATAAAATTAATGTTTTTTTTTCAAAATATACCCCTACCCAAATTTAAATACCTGATTGAAATATATTTTTATGCCTCCTTTAAATATAGTAATCTATTTTAGTATGACAAGTCTATAATCTTTATTTCTATCTGTAAAATATTTCCTGACATTAAATACTTCCTAAGTGCACATTAATTTATGATTATAACAATGATAACCATTATTATTATATGTAATCATGAGATAAGTTCTTAAACAATGTGTTACTTATTTATTTTTGTAGCTACCGAAATTAATCTGAGCTAGTTTTAACTGTCTTAAAATCCCCCAAAGTAAAAATAAAAATTTTAGATTTCAGTTATTCATAACTGTTACAAAAGTGAGTTAGTTCTAGAAGCGTATATTTACTTGTATTATTAAAAAGAAATACAATTTGCAGATTTTCTCAGATATTGATGCAAGTTAGTGTCATTTCAATAATGAGTGCTAAATGTTTTTAAATACCCATTTTAGAAATTATTTTTCTACTATTTATCTTTAAATACGGTTATTTATTAAATTTTGCATATTAACATATATTTTCATCAAACTAATCAGTAAAAGTAAAGATAAAAGTGTAAAATGCTTACGAGGCAATGAAAAATTCTATGCAATAAATCAAATAAGTTTTCGCAGCATATTCGATCGAGTCTATGAAAACTGAGATTTGTAACTAATTTTTTCAAGTATTTAATTAAGGGCTTTTAGATAGTTTCTCTGCTACTGAATTAGACCACCAAACTAAGTTTTGAAATTAAAATGTCTGAATTTAGAAGATTATAACGATTGAGAAAAAGAGAAAATATGAGTTACTTGTAGAAGTGATTAATATTTACTTATCAAACAAATCACATCGAAACATTCATCAAACAAATCACCTCCAAATCTTCGTTGATCGAAGTAGTATCACTTCCATAGTTAGTGCTGAATGTCTTTAAGTACCCATCCTGAAAAAATATAATTTTTTTACAATTAATAAAATTCTTAGTTTTATTTATTTCTTTATTTGCAAATTAGCATGGTTTTATATCATACATATGTCTTGTGTATCATACATATGTGTAAAGAGTAAAATTCTTACAAGATAATGAAAAATTCAATTATTATACTAGTTTCCCTTTAATAATTTGATTAATCGATAGCCTTCCTTATCAAATCAAAGTTTAGAAAAATAGTGATTTAAATTTTTTTTTGTTATTATAATGTATAAATTCAGATAATTTTTCTGCTACGAGAATGAACCCTAAAATATATTTTGAACTATTATAATTATTTAAATATGGGAATATAATAAATATGTGTTATAATTATTTAATTATTTAAATATGTTAAATATATGAAAATGTTTGAATTAAATATTTCAAATAATTAAAGCAGTTGCAAAAGTAAGCTTTTTGAAGTTATAAATATTTATTCTGATTTTTATTAAAGAAAGAAGAATATCACTATCAAAGCAAAGTAATCAATGTTTTTTTTAATCATTTTAAATTTATTAATGTTTTACTATTTGGACGAACTTCAGCTACCAAAAAAGGGTTTTATTTACTTAGTTTTAAATTATAAAATCTTAAAATTAAGTTAATTTTTAAAAGGAAAAATAAAAATGCATAATCCCATCAAGATAATAAAAATTCCAACTTATAAATCAGAAATGTTTGCTTAACTTATCAAACAGACTATATGAAAACAGAAATGGAAAAAGCTTTTTACGAGTTGAGTTTAATTTAATTCCTGATTTTCTGCACCGGTTGGTGCTATTGAAGTGGACAAGCACACATTTCTTCAACTTGGAAAGCAGTTCAATCCGGATTTAGAAGGTTCTTTTTCCTATTAACGTCAGTTCCTCTATTCTTTCTACTGGAAGATGTTTTATCTTTTTAATTAGCACGACAGAATACCTCTCGTGGAGGCTTTCGCTAACAAAAAAAAACAAAATAATAATAATATTGAAAGGGAAAAAAAAGCTTTCCGCACCGTCTAATAAGAGGACATTAAAACGGAAGGACATTTATTAAAGACGATCTTTAAAAGGGGTGTAGGAGGAGGTGTGTATAGAAAATGTGCTGTTTAAAAAAGATAGCTTGTCAAGTTTTTAAGTTAAAGCGCTGAAAAGTTTTTATGAGTTGCGCAATAAAAAGGATTTGAGGTGTTAAGGCTTAGAGGAAGAAATATATTGCGAAGGAGTTTAAATAAATCTTGCGTTATAAATTCCAATGTAAAGAAAGTTATTTTTGAGGTCTTACTAACGCTTTAAGAGAAAGAAACTTTGTTCTATTCTTTAATATCATAAATTTATTTTCTTTGTTGAGTGTCAAGATACATTGTAGCACTTTGCTTTTATGACTTTAGGGTAAGATTATTACATTTAATGAGAATAAATTTTGCTTTTTCTTTCTTATTATTTCGTTAAGGGAAATAAAGGTAATGTACTTGTAAGAAAATTTTAAATTAAGTTATTTTTTCGTTTGTTGGCGTTGCATATACGTTAAAGTAGGTATTTTGAACTCGCATTTTGAAAAAAAATCCCCCTTTATACTACAATTTATTATTTATTTGAAAGTTAGTGAAGCAAATGTTAAAGGTATAAACACCATTTTTTTATTAAAAAAATGAACACGGAAAAATTATTACTTGGTCTTTCATTATATAATACACAGATATAATTTTCTCCTATGTTTTTCAGTTTTATATGATCTGATATGCAGTATTGGTGTTAAGAGTCTTTTTTTTCAGTTTATTAACATTCGATAAAATAAGAGTTTTCTCTTAAAAATTTTTTTTGAAAAGAACTTTGAACTATGGCACAGTTTTAAAACCATATGTATTAAAACTAAATACATTATACTTCAATAATCTATCCTTGTTTACAGTGGCTTTATTGCAATCATTAAGATTGGTGTTCTCGCCAAATGTTTAAGTGTAGAAAACTGAATCTAAAAATTAAGATTAAATAATCTTCCGAAATTACGGAACTAAGAAACTTTGTTTTGAAAAAACAATTCTTATTCTTACAAATATTCTATGATTATTTTCTATCCTGATTTACGGTGGCTTCATTGCAAATAACTAGCAGATTATATCGAACTAACTTATCGAACCCATTAACTATATCGAACCCACTCATTTTCTGAAACTACATTTTAACCATATTAAAAGTAGGCTTTAGAAAATATACATATTAGTGTTATCGCCCAATGTTTAAGTGTAGACAATATTCTATGAGTGTTTTTTTTAAATTTAAAATGATTCCATAAAGTGGAAAATTGCTAATTTTTGATGAAATTATCTAAACTGAATAATATTAATGCTTTTGCTGAAATTAAAGCAGTTATTTTTATGGAATTATTCTATTTTTATTACCTTATTATTTTAATTTACAGCCTTATTCAGTTGGAATAAAATCAGGTATATCCAGACAATCGTCAGATCAAAGACAAAATTTTTTTTTCTTATTAATTATTGACGATTTGAAAACCAGCTAATTTTTCCGTACTTTTTTTTAAAAATAAAATATATATGGATATTCATCATATATTTATACATAAGAAGGCAACAGATAAATGTATAGTTGGTAATTTCATTATTTCAAGTGTAATTTTCGAAGCATTGCTAGATGTTGCTTATTACTTTGCGCCGTTAATATCTCCTTCATATACACTCCTTGAATTTTACGTAATTTGACTCTCAAATTTTTATTTAATCTTATGATCATTTCTTAAAAAACTATTAGTTGCATTTTTATCCAAAAAACAATTATGACGGAAGTCACATTCTATAAATAATCGTTCTTTCATAAACTACTAATACATTTACATAATTACTCGAGACAGCTTATAATTTAGTGAAATTGAGTTTTGTTTCAAAACGCTTCTTGCATTTTATTTTTCATTATTGAATTGTGACTCTTCTTTTTCTTACTCTTTGGTCGATTGTTTTTATACATGGCTACATAATAAATTTCTTTTTTTCCGCTGGTAGCGACTATTTTACCGGCCACGGAAGTTTCCATTATGGGGATTTAGTTCCTGAAAAGATCTTATTAAAAAACATTATTAAATTAGAATAAAATCATATTTTTTAAAAATTAAAATTTTATCAATAATTCATTTTTAAAGACTAAAAAGAAACCCTATAAAATCTTTAGGGAAACACCCGAAAGAAGATTTTTATTTCCATAAATAAAACTAATTTGTTCCATAGAGGTGTTTTGCATCAGTGTTTCTTTATAGTATATACACCGCATTTACTGCGAAATAATAATTTATTGATGTTTAACAGCTTGTTTAAAAACTGGACACATTATGCAGGCTTAAATACTTGATGTTTTTCATTTTGTTGAGATTTTTAGTTGTTTTATTTCAATAAAATATTAATTAGACGCGTATTTTTTATTTTAGAAAAGAAAGGAAATTATGTAATTTTTGGAGGACCAAAAACTGAAAGTCATATAGTGTTTTAACTCTTTTTTGACTCGTGATGATTTATCTCATCTTTCATGCCCAAACGCTGTTGACCAATGACGAGTTAACTTGTCACTGCACTTGCATTATCTCTTTCAATTTATGAAATCTATAGCTATATAAAATGTCGTCAAAGCTTCACGCAACGTTAAAACGTTAGTGTCTGCCTAAAATTGCTGGTCAACAAAGTGTTAAGAGAGCATAGATTTATAAACTGTTCCGTCGAAAAAAGATGTCATGTTTGGAAGTGAGGGAGAGAGTTCGTGAAATTGGGACAGTTCATAACACTGGGGGTGGGAGAAGATAAAACAAGAAGTGCGACATCCTACATTTTGCTTAAAATAAAGTCAGCATACTTAATAATTTTATGTTGTTTGTTTTGTATTTTGTTCATTAAAATAAGAAAGTCACTCATCTTTATTATTGTTGTCCTCAAAAATGTCATTAAAATAAAATTTGAGAGCTGATCTATAGCAGGTATTTTGTTTCTGAATTGCTGGCCAATATTTATATAATATAACATGATCTGTGACAAAGAGGGTAAGGGTGGGGCAAAATGTAACTTATTGGGGCCAAAGGGTGGAAGGGAGTCATAAATATTTGAAAAAAAGTATGCCATGCACTTTAAGAAATTCCGGATCAATTTACAGAATAAAGTATCGCCACACAGCATGCCGGAACTTTTTACCATAAAATAGTACACTGCTGTAATAATCACAGTAAAATCACTCTAATTGAATAAATATTACTGTAAAATTTACGGTAATATTTTTTTGCCGTAAAATTGACTTGTAGAGTTGATTATTCCCACACTAATATTTTCTATTAGAAAACGTTTATGGCTTAATCCTCCAATAGAGTATCTCTCTTCCCCTCACACCCTTTTCATAAACCAATGAGAGTCAGACAAACTCAAGGATAGCGGATGCTATTCTCTCTGTCCTTTCAATTTTCAACATATTTTCGTTATTGTTTTAATAATAAATATTTTCACATTTGTCTAACTGGATAATCTTTATTCATCATCCTTTAAATCACCTTCTTCACAGCATCAAACTATTCTTTACAGATATTACGGATGAGGCACCCTAGGTGCCGGTACGCACTTAATCAGGAATTTTTTAAAGTGTGATTTATAGACGGCACATGAGAAACTTTACGTGCCAAGAATGAACCATGGACAAGAATGAACCACTGACATTTAATTTGTTGATGATATGTACTTAAAAGAAGTAAGGTATATGTGCGGTAAACATTTGGCATGCCTTTAAAATTGATCATAAAATTACAAAGAAACTTAAATTCTGAAGAAGATTCAATGTCGCTATCTTCATAACTTATTATCCTGCATATTAATTTATTGGTTCAACAAATTAAGAACAGTCAGCAAATTCATCCTTATTTCCACCAGCATGACCGATCACTATGGAGCAATATAAGACAACTGCGAAATGTTAATTTTACCATGAAACATTAATGGAAGTGGTATTTTCAGCTATTTTTTCCCATTTGCCCTTATCAATCGACTGTGCTTAATTGCTTCAAACTTTACCAGTGAACTTCTTGCGATTAAGAAGGCACTCGCATTTTATGTGACCAATCAGGAGATTTCAGACCCAACTGAGGGATTGGTAATTTTCTCTGAGTCAAAAGCGGCCCTAGAGGCAATCGACAACGGTGAAACCAACGTCACTTCTGCCATAAATGTCCTACTTGAAGGCTTGCACGGCAATGGGAAATCCTGCTTGCTGCAATGGATACCGTCGCACGTGAATATTGAGGGAAACGAGTCTGCGGACTCCTTGGCTAAGGAAGACAGAGGTGCCGACCAACCTTGCACCACCATCACGCTTGCAGACGCAAATGCAGTCGCAAGACACAGACTTCTGCCCCATTCCTTCAGGAAACCCCTCATTACTGACTTTGATTGTTCCAGAATCTTAACATCAACAATTACAAGACTGAGAAGAAACCACTTTAAAGGAATGAAAATTCTTCCCGACAAAATAAGAACTTATATTCCCTACAAGAACTGTACCGATATCCAACTTACCCCAGATCACATTCTCGAGTGCCCAGCCCTTACCCCATATGTTTTACAACTGGGTATGGCGCCACTGGCTTCAGAACTTCGTGAGATCCTCTAAAGTAGTGATGTATTGCAGCTAGCGGATGCAGTTTTGAAGACACACGAGGTCATTTAATTGTCCATGGACACGATAAAAATATCGATTGTGTATTTCTTAATTCCTTCACGATAAACAATATGCATTGATCCTCATTTTTATGTCTCGAAAACGAAGTCTAGAAGAAGAAATAAATCTAAATTTAATATTCATTATTGAATTAAACAGCTTTAAGAACACGATTGTCGAGAGTGTTTTCTTATGTGAAAATAAGTTTGTAAACATAATATTTCATAACAAATATTTAAATCTTAAAAAATATTATAAAAGCAGTGTAAAATATGATAGAGTTGGTCTATAAAACATATGAATAAAATATATAAGGCAGTCATTTTACTATATCTTATTTCGCTGAAAATTGAATAATATTTATGTATTACTTCTTTTTTATTGTGTTCCCTTTGGGCTCTCCAAAACGTATTTTTTTTATTTGAGGAAATGTATTTACAAACTGAATAATTCATTATTTATTTCTGCCATTGCATTAAAGTAGATTCTTAATATATTTTATTTTCTAGAAGTGTCTCTTTTTAGACCCCTATTAAGTGAAAAATAGTTTTACAGGAATATACTACATTATGCTAAATATTTATATTTATTCAACAGCTCTCTTTTTTAGAATGGTCAATAGAAAATAAACATTTGGATTTGATATTTATTTGAAATTAGTGATGCCATTACGTGTAAAATTATTTATTATTAATGGATTTTTTTCTCATTTATTTATACTGCATATAAAAATTAAGCATTACGATAGAAAAAAATCACAAAAATTAATTATTTCTTATGCTTATAAAAATAGAAGTTACATTATAAAGTGTAATTAATTAGATCATGATAATATTCTTTTAAAGTTATTTACAAAGACTAATGAAGTGTTTCATTTACTCCGTTATAAATATGAATGTCTTATTTATGAGAAAAAAAGTTTTAAAAATTTGTAACACAATCCCAAGCAAGAATTTTATATCAACTACTATGGTTAAAGGTTAATTTCCTCACCGAAAAGCATTTCAGTCTATTTTGGTCTACTGTGAGTGAATTATATGGTGAATAATATGGTGAGTGAATTACGGAACCATGTAAAAGTTAAGGGGAGTTTGATGCACATGCTGTTCATATTGAATATATTGTTCGCATTGGTGATGATAACGTTCGAAATTTTCTCTCTCTCTTTATATATATATATATATATATATATATATATATATATATATATATATATATATATATATATATATATATATATATATATATATATATATATATATATATATATATATATATATATATATATATATATATATATATATATATATATATATATATATATATATATATATATATATATATATATATATATATATATATATATATATATATATATATATATATATATATATATATATATATATATATATATATATATATATATATATATATATATATATATATATATATATATATATATATATATATATATATATATATATATATATATATATATATATATATATATATATATATATATATATATATATATATATATATATATATATATATATATATATATATATATATATATATATATATATATATATATATATATATATATATATATATATATATATATATATATATATATATATATATATATATATATATATATATATATATATATATATATATATATATATATATATATATATATATATATATATATATATATATATATATATATATATATATATATATATATATATATATATATATATATATATATATATATATATATATATATATATATATATATATATATATATATATATATATATATATATATATATATATATATATATATATATATATATATATATATATATATATATATATATATATATATATATATATATATATATATATATATATATATATATATATATATATATATATATATATATATATATATATATATATATATATATATATATATATATATATATATATATATATATATATATATATATATATATATATATATATATATATATATATATATATATATATATATATATATATATATATATATATATATATATATATATATATATATATATATATATATATATATATATATATATATATATATATATATATATATATATATATATATATATATATATATATATATATATATATATATATATATATATATATATATATATATATATATATATATATATATATATATATATATATATATATATATATATATATATATATATATATATATATATATATATATATATATATATATATATATATATATATATATATATATATATATATATATATATATATATATATATATATATATATATATATATATATATATATATATATATATATATATATATATATATATATATATATATATATATATATATATATATATATATATATATATATATATATATATATATATATATATATATATATATATATATATATATATATATATATATATATATATATATATATATATATATATATATATATATATATATATATATATATATATATATATATATATATATATATATATATATATATATATATATATATATATATATATATATATATATATATATATATATATATATATATATATATATATATATATATATATATATATATATATATATATATATATATATATATATATATATATATATATATATATATATATATATATATATATATATATATATATATATATATATATATATATATATATATATATATATATATATATATATATATATATATATATATATATATATATATATATATATATATATATATATATATATATATATATATATATATATATATATATATATATATATATATATATATATATATATATATATATATATATATATATATATATATATATATATANCCTACTCAGAACTCAAAGAAAAATAAGCTTCAATTTCTCCTTCTCTCTCGGTGAATTTATGAACTATTTTCACGAAAAGAAAAAAAAATGTATAATTCTTTCCTATCAACTTTAAATTGATGTTGTGGCTTTCAAGATATGTTTTGGATTAATTCGAACTTTATCAAGCTATGTATCCTTTAATTTTTTTAAAAAACATTTATTTCTTTGATTTTTAGTGATTAATAAGAAAAAGAAAGTAAAGTGCGCGAATGATTTTTTTTCCCTCTTCGCCGAATATTGAAGAAGAAAAAGTGATATATAAATTTTTTTTTATCTTTTTTCTCAAAATTTGTGATACTGCTATGATTACATATTTTATGTGATCAAAAATTTTTTTTTATTCTGATTAATTGAGTATATTATTAATGTTGGATTGCATATCTTAGATTTATATTCGTTTTATTTTTAAATTATGATATATATTTTTTTTCTCTTCAACGAAATTGATGAAGGTCGACGTTGGAGAGTAGGGTGCTCATATTTTATTGAAATTAGATATGAGTAATGATAAAACTTTTTATTATGAAAAATTGAATAGAATGTTTTTAAGAGTTAGATTGCATTTCTTGTGTTTATATTGCTTTTTTTTAAAATATGATATGTTTTCATATTGCATTTAAAATGTTTTTGAAGGAAATAAATGCGGTTCAAAAGTCAATTAAATTAGTAATGGCAAACAAAATTAAGTTTTTTTTTTCAACTTTTGTTTCCTAATGATTTATCACGATTAAATCGAAAAAAAAAAAAAAAACTTTAAGGAAATTTGTAAAAATTTTGCTTTTCCGGACTTGATCAAAACTAAATATTCCAATGAAAAAAAAATGTGAAAACTTAAAATGTTACCTAAACAAAAGGACAGTTAACACTTAACAAAATTTGCGAGTTTCCGTTATTACGATAGGCGAAAAGTTTAACTCAGTTAAGTTTTTATGCTTGATACTGATTTTCCATATGCTTTAGTAGGGTTGTAGACTTGCAAAGATTTTTGTTTGTTTATTGATTGTATCGGGCCAGTTGTTACTTAATTTGGTAAGAGATTGATCACCGCTGCTAATTCAAACAATGACAACTTATCTTTGCACATTAAACAACAAACTTCTAAAAAGGTTACGGTTAAAAATGATGAAAAAGATGTTTCAAAAAAAGTAAGCATCGAAAAAATAAAAGGTTTGATGTTTCGATAAAAGTAAACATCGAAAAAATGAAAGTCGAGGATGTTTCAGTAAAAGTAAACATCGAAAAAATAAAAGGTTTGATATTTCGGCAAAAGTAAACATCGAAAAAATAAAAGGTTTGATGTTTCAGCAAAAGTAAACATCGAAAAAATAAAAGTTGAAGATGTTTCAATAAAAGTAAACATCGGGAGAAAAAAAAAGAAAAGAAAAGGAAAAGGACCAAGATTACAAAAAAATAAATAAATAAAAAATAAAAATGTAAATAAGCAAAATTTCGAAATACTACATGTATCAAAACTTAGGAAAAATCACAAACTACAAATGTTAAAATTAAATCATGAAAAAATGGTCAAAAATGAAAATGTTTTGCTTTCTTCAAAGGAAGAAGTAATCCCTATATTTTTGAGAGATCCGAATCGCGTGTGGAGATGTTTGGCGAGGAAACGTGAATTTTTTTTTCTCAACACAGTGAAAAAAAAAAATTTATAAACTATTTTTGTTTTATCCAGTCTGGATCTCTCAATTTCACAGTGCTTCATGAAACTCTGTTTTCCTCCATTTAAAGGGGAATACAGAATTTCATCTAGTAAATAACCCCATTAACCATACAGAATCTTAAATTCTGACTAAATGACACTTGTTGTCCAATTCGTTTTGCATAAAAATTTTGTATATTTTTGTGTGAAAATTTTTGAAAAGTTTTTTAGAATAGTTATATAAAATGTTTCATTTTTTCTTTCTGTTTAGTTCACTAAACAGATAAAGTGCATTATTATGTT